GTTTGTATTATTCACAGGACAAACAAGAAGAAGGCTATTAATCATCCTTGAGCGGCTTGATTTTCTTGTTTGACCTCTGCTGTAAATTTCACTTGCATCCAAGGTCTCAAGTTAGAATTTTGTTCCATCTTTCTCCCCATCACACCTCGGCCGCCGGCCACCGGGGAGGGGATTGGAAGGGAGGCCTTAGTTGAGGCTCCTCTCCAACTGCATGCTAACAGGATGTAGGATTTCTAAAAAATTACAGCAGAAATTTCACGTTGCTGGGCATAATGCCCCAACACGTTTTGAAAGATAGAGTAAAATCAGACCCTAATCCGCGATAATGCCAATTATCAACAGTGATTTTTCCATATTACTATGGATAGGAATCCCATTTAGATTATGTATATATAAAGAACTTGTGACTCTTGGTTGGAGAAAAAATAGAGGCTGGAAACCCACTTTCTTCTTAATTCTACATAGGCCCCTTAAATGTCCCAATTTTATCTTTTGTTGCATCAATTCTTTTACAACAAGTGTCTATGAATCAATCAAGTTAATTACCTTTTCCTTAAGCTACATATAAAGTACCTTCTCCAAAAAGAAAAGAAAAGAAAAGAAAAGAAAATAAAAATACATTGTCTAAAGGAAATATAAGAATTATAAAATGTAATGAGAGTCCACGGTATTCCCTTGTGTACGTGACTAGCTAAATAGTAAGAGTATCTGATTCAGATGATACCTTCTAGTGTGATATGTGTTTCAAGAATTTCACTAAGATTTTCTTTGCATATATAATTAGTCCCCATTTAATCAAATTTCACATCCTTCACGTACGCTTTTATCACCCGTATTGCTGGATGATTTGTCCTGTCTAACTGAGAACCGAATCAACCCATAGTATCGAGTTAATCCTCAAAATTAAAAGTTCTAAATCCAAAGATTAGTAAGATATGATATGAATAAAAATGCAATAAAGCAGTCATGCAAGTTTTAGAGAGGAAATGCCTAATAAGCTTGTTTCCAATCCGAGTTTGGAATTGCTCATTAGATCGCTTCATTAGCAGAATCGAGCAATAATACAGTGGAAGCACATGGTTTGGTGTAAATAAAGCACGCGATTTGGTGTAAACAGTTTCTGTCATTTTTTTTTTTGAAAATTTCTATTTATCCTTTAAATAACAATTCACCAGTAACCGATTCTAACTCAACCACTAATATCATACAATTCGTGAAATATATATATCCACCAACATAATTACTAAACTACAATTTACAATCTCATAAAAAAACTTCTACTCAACAACAAATTACAACCACGTAAAAATTTCTTTTCCATCTCCTTCATACGCATCATCATAAGAGAACTTTTTTTTTTTTTTTTCTATCTCTTATCATAAGATTTTAATCATATAGATGATTGTAGAGTTCCATCTCAATGTAAAAGCACAATTAGAAGAAAATTTTCTTTTTAAAAGATTCATTAATCAATCTAATTGCTTGATTTAATTTTTCATTTTCTTTTTATCATGTTTCGCTGTATTAACTTTTTTAGTTTTCTACTTCTAAATTTTGTTACCAAATGGGAGTTCTACATTCAAGATTTTTTTTTTTTAATTATTGAATGCACACACATTAAGTGTGCGTCAATCACTAGTTTAGATAAACATGGTGTATGGATCTACTTGTAAATCAAGTAGCATACTCTATGACTTAAGAAAACTTATGTCATTAACATTTTAGATATCCAAATGGACCAAATCCCACGTATATATATATATATATATATATATATATGCTTATTATCTTATTTCATCCTAATAATATTTTTTCATGTTTTTTCTTTCATTTTTATTGTATGTGAAAAAAGTCTTAAATTTTCTCGAGAATGTTTAGAATATGTAAATAATGCCACTAGGTTTCTATGTTCTAATTTTTCCGTAAATATATTTTGTTATTATGACATGTAACATGTATAAGAAAGAGAGTTGTGCCCTTATTGATAAAGAAAAAAGACAATCCCAAATGGAGACACAAAAAAAATACTTGATCATTTTTCCTTTTCTAAATAGATTGTTTTTTTCCCATTTGATCACATTTTTTAAAATTATTGTTTTTGATTTCCAATATTTTCATATTCGTAGTTGTTGCCGAAAAGGGCCGTGAAAATTAAAAAAATCGCGGGAAAGGTGGGAGCTGGTATGATGTTGTCCCCACATTTGATTTGGACTAAAATGCTTTCTACCGTTAGATTAAAAAATTTACTCGTCTCGCCGGTCCCATCCTCCAACCTTCTCTTAAAATAAAACTGACACGTGTCCTGGGGGTAAGTTATTCGGTCTTCCGAGACGAAACTGCCCCTGAATATACGGGTAACGGCTGCTAAGTCCACTATTCTGTTCAACAACACTTGTTCCCCCCCCCCCCCTTTTTTTTAGCTTATTTTTCTCACCGAGCGTGTTTGCATACAAAATTATCTCACATTTTTTATATCATAAATAAATATTTTAATTTACTTTTTATATTTTTAATGATACCTTCTTTTTATACATTAATTTTAATCGATGCTGTCTGGACCTCAAGCAAAAGAGCAAAAATGTTGAGCTCTGGACAGGTGAGAGTGGAATCAGTAGATTCATTTGACCTTAATAAGTCAAAGTAATGTTTTTGGGATCAATTTTTATACACTATCATTATTACAAGCAGGTTTAGACGAACGCGACATTAGTACCATTCAAATTTTAGTGTAAAAAAAAGAAAGAGATACGTACATATATATATATATATATATTTTTTTTAAGTATAAATGGAAGAGCTCAAATCGGATGCTATCACTTACCACTTACAGTTTTACGTGAATATTCAAATGAGTGGTTGGAAGCCCGTAGCTTTGAGACCTGACTACCAATGTCCATTGGTTTACTGTACTCTTGAGTTCATTAGACTAAATAGTCCATGTACATTGAAGCCACAAAGGTTTCTAATACAATTGACATGGAATATAACATGGAATATTTGAATTCATTTCTTGTTAAGTAAATATAATTCTCACATGGGGTTTAGTTTAAATTTGAGAGTTTGCCATTAAACTAAGGTGTAGTAGTGGATTTAATTCAAATTAAACAGAGATGTAGTCGAAACAAATATTAAATTTTTTTTAATGTAAATTGGAGGTTTTGAACTTAGAACTTCTCATATATATATATATGCACTTTCGCCCTCGTTATCGTTATCATCCGACCCGTTACTCCTCCAAGAAATCCATTATAGTTGAAACGAACATGTTTAGGTTTCGTTCACTTCATTTTCGAAATTCAGTGATGGTATGATGAAAGGTTGGATACAAATGATTTTTTGGGATTGAGGTACATTGCAGGTACGGGGGTGCATAATATACAATCATATGGATATATATGAAACGAAGACATTTCTAAAATTCCCTATCGTTCGGTGGAGTTGGAAGATTTACATTATTTTAAACCACAAAGAAAAGAAAAGAAAAGAAAACGTCGACTAATTGTTAATTATTCAGGCATTTTGGTTTCCTAAATTGCTAAATGACGCTTCTAATTTATTCTATCATCGTGGTTCCCTTCTTCACTCATGTGGATGACTTAAAGAATTCGAGGTTCTCTTATAGATTAGGGGCAAAAGTAAATGAATCAAAACCGTGGAAAGTGATAAAATGAGAAGGTTATCAACAACTACATGTTGTTAAAGCAGCAGCACAAAGCTAAGAAAATCACCTGATCCTAGCCCAACAACAGGTAGATTCATACAAGACGTACAACGCAGAAACATATATATATATGAGCGAAGCACATAGTTTAGAGGGTTTAGTATAGACAATTAACGTATTCTTTTACTTTCACATCCTAGTTCTTGTTCGTGCTTAACACAACTCAAAACCACACAAAATTCTTGCACGACAAAATTTTAGAATCACTGAAATCATATCAACACAATCACCAAATTCTTTCGAATAAGGTTGCCTTTTGGACCGGATTGTCTCAAAACTATATCACAGTAGCTAGCTATATATGATTGAAATCATTCAAAATTTTAGAAATCCAAAAATAGCCGGAAAACTTGGGATGATTTTAGTTTCTAATATTTTCAACAATCCAGAGAATTAAGAGGAAGGTGTCTTTTCCCAGGACTTCAGCAAACGAAAGGAGTAAACCATTATTTCAGTTTCATGTTCCTAATGCATTTTGAGGTTGCAGTTACTTGTACTAATTATGATTCTGGAAGAATGCATACCCTTGTAATTAATTCATCAATTCTACCTTAGGTTATTTTAATCCGATCGTTTACAAGTTTACAACCATGATTTTATACAGACGTTCGAGTTTGACATTGTCTGTGAGCACAAAAAATGTGCGAATCATGCTGTTGATTTCATGACTTCAAACAATTATTTCATAGTCAACCATTATGTCTCTCAAGTTGACAACACTAGAACGTAGACACTACTATTTAACCTTGTAATCCTACACTTTGCAGATACAATGCTCTAGATTTAGGGTTGGTGGCTGTCTAGCCGAGGAAGAAATTTTCAGCTGGCAAGTAGGCTAGAAACTATTCTATATATATATATATATATATATCTTTTGCCTTCAATAAAAAAAATAAAATATCATGAAGCAAATTAAGTTCAATTACTGATGCTTTTCTTGTTTTTGTGTTTATTCTTCGAAACCTCAATAATATATATTGATCATCAACCAAGTCTCTCCCAACTAAAATATTAATGAGAGAGAAATGCCAAGGAAATTAAATAAAAGCAGAGTTGGGGATGGGAGAGTCTTAGAGGGTTGGAACACTCGAAGACTTGAAGCATATGGCAGCCTCCTGGCCGTTCTACGTGTAAGCCAGGAGGCTGCATGAGACTGTCAATAGTAAAAAGTGTGGCTGAAGGAGGGCATTCCTGTAAATTTAAACAACAAGAGATGAGCTGATCGGACAAGGAAGCCAAAAGAGGTTTTCCTTGGACAAACATTAGCAGTTTTTCTCCTAGTCTTCGGTGGTTTTGGTCCTTTTGGGGGGAGGGAGAGAGAGAGAGAGAGAGAAAGAGAAAGAGAGAAAGAAGTGTTCAAGTTTGGAGGATATGCTTAAACTTAAGACCGCTTTATCTGAAAATTTGGTTGCAGAAAGTCGTCTGGTTCGCTTAAAATAGCTTTGTCTTTTGCTTCATTTGCATTCAATTCTCCCTTGCTCTCTTCTGTCCTGTTTCTCAGTTTCTATCCTCTCCTCAACCTCTTGCGCTTCATTAATCCTAACCGACCCCTTTTCTCTCCTCCCTGTCGATCTCTTTTCTTCTCTTTTCACATCTTTAGAGCCATCCCTCTAGCTCTATTTAAACCACCGTTGGATCACTGCTATGGTCATCAGTCATCAGAGAAAGCATCTGATCATACATAATAGTAGCCTTTTAGGAAATTTCAGGGATTTTCGCTAGACTTATGGGGTTTGCAAGAGCTCTTGTTGAAACTTCAACTGAGCAAGAAAGCAAACTTTTTGTTGGAGGAGCTTCTAACTCCATTAACTCTTCTCCTTTCATGGCTTCTTCCAACAAAACCAACAACCACACTACTCAAATAGTGCTTGACCAACAACAACATCAATCACCAGTGCCATCACAGATTCATCCAAGTCATCATCAGCACCTTCATCAAGACCATCATGCTCATCATCATCAGCATCAGCATCAGCATCATCAGCAGAATATTAATCAGATTTCTTTTGGCATGATGCAATCATCTTCATCAGCCATTCCTGGCAACTTCATGTAACCCTTTTCTTGCTCCTAAATTCGTCAGAAAAACTCCCTCAAAAAACCCGTTTCTTACTTTTGGCTTTTTCTCTCCGTGTTTCCTTTTCTTTTCTTTTTTTCTTAGAAAATAAATCCCCCCTTTTTTTTTTAATTTTTGTTGCCTCTAATCATTTCTTGATCTTTTCTCTTTGTCTGGTCTCCTTCTGTCTGGGGTGTGAGCAGAAGCAAGGATACTGGAGCTTATGATTTGGGCGAATTAGATCAAGCCCTTTTTCTTTACCTGGATGGCCAAGAACCCTCGGCAATTCAAGAGCAAAGACGTGAGCTCCCATCTTTTGTTTTTTAAGTCTAAAATTTTTTCCTTAACCTTCAAAATGATCTAGCTCCTTTCATTTCTTTCTAATTTTATGCCTACTCCTTAAAGATTCTCTTGGGGAATACTCTTGGTCATGAGGAAAGTGTGTTCAGGGATCAAATCTGACTGTACTTTCTTTGACCAGATCCTCTGAGCTGAAAAATTTTCCAGTTTTCAAGAAACAATGCTGTTTTCTATTACGTGTCCTTTTGGTTTCAATTGATTTCTTGGGGTTGGACCACGACATGTAACAAACTCTTTGAACTACTACATGATTTTCCTGCAAATTTCTGCTCGTACCTCTAAAGGGTACAAATCAAAATTAAAAAAAAAATATTCCTTTCACTCTCTTTGCTTGCAAAGAGTTCAAAATGCATGACCAATTGCAGCTCTCTTGTCCTTTCTGACCCTTGTATCGGGATTTCATCCTTTCTTATCATATCTTTCCCTGAAATAATTTCCAAAAATTTATCCTCAATTTAATGCTTATGATGCGCGTGCAGAGAACTCCGGGATGAGGCCTCCAACTCTAAACATTTTCCCTTCTCAGCCCATGCATGTAGACCCCTCATCAGCAAAGGTATCATTCCGTTAAAAGATGTCTCTTTTACTTGTTCTCATCAACTTTGACATTGTATATCTTAATTAATTGGGTTCGCTTGTTAATTAGTTGTTGATACTAATTTTTTGGTAGGCAAGTACCGGATTAGTTTCCAATTCTCCATCTAGCAGCGGTTCCAAGAGATCATCTGAGCCGTCCATGGAGTTATCAAACCCCAGAAATGATGTTGCTTCTGCACCTGAACCAGCAAAAGCTGTAAAGGTGGGACTTAATTAACTAAGTACAGATCGAGCTAGTCAATATACTATCTGATATGCCGGCAAATGATTGATTTGTTAGTTTCTTGTAGACTCAGATTTTGGGGGGGTTTCACTTTCATTATTTTAATCTTTCTTTTCATTATTCTTGATTGTCATAATTCTTTTGATTATTGTCGTTGCAGCGTGAGGGAAACCGCAGAGGTCCAACTTCAAGTTCAGAGCAAGAAGGACCAAAGACACCAGATCCTAAGGTAACCGCTTTCTCTTTTTTGGTGAAATCTATCCCTACTTGTCCCCCACTATTTAATATATTGTACCATAGCTGATAGAGTTCTCTATTTATATTTTATTTCTACCACAGACACTGAGGAGGCTTGCTCAGAATAGGGAGGCAGCCAGGAAAAGCAGACTTAGGAAAAAGGTCAGTCCACTCCAAGATTAGTATGTTTATCCAAAATAAAGGTATACATTTACCACAAAACTAATCAGTTTTTTTTTTTGCTTGATCTATCACAGGCTTATGTTCAGCAGCTAGAGTCAAGCAGGATCAAACTTACTCAATTAGAACAGGAAATACAAAGAGCTAGATCTCAAGTAAGAAATACTACAGTTCTCTCTATTAAATGTAGGTATTAGAAGAGTGCATCTTTTATCTTTCTTTCTTGCACTCAATTCACTATATAAAATGCTATATTCAAGTGACCCCAGCATTTTTTTAATGTTTTCATTTTTTTTTCCAGGGAATTTACTTTGGTGGAGCTGCTGCCCTTCTAGGCGGTGACCAATCCATGCCTGCTCCTATGGGCAACATAAGTTCAGGTATATTAGAGCCATATATTTTCATAATTTACTTTGGTAACAGATTTAGTTCAATACATTTTCTCAGTTGCAGATGCTACCGTCTTCGACATGGAGTATTCACGATGGCTGGAGGAGCATCACCGCCTAATGTGCGAACTTCGAAATGCAGTGCAGGAGCACTTACCTGAAAACGAGCTCAGGCTTTTCGTCGACAACTGTTTGGCTCACTATGACGAGGTGATGAATCTCAAAAGCATGATCGCCAAATCTGACGTTTTTCATCTTGTTTCCGGCATGTGGAAGACTCCTGCTGAGAGATGCTTCATGTGGATGGGAGGTTTTCGCCCATCGGAGCTCATCAAGGTATCTGTATATATGTATATATATATGCACGAAAACCCTCTTCTCGGAACTAGGTTTTACGTAATAAAAAGTTAATAAAACGAAAAAAGACCATGCAAACCCTAGCTAGAAACCTTTCATACGGCTAAAAACAAAATGGGCTCGATTTATTTAACTTTTTATGCTTTCTAAAAACAAGTTTTGATTTATTCCGACTTGTTTTATATTCTTGAAAAATTGTCTTCGACCCGACAAGGGTTTTAGAGGTAGTGAAGAAAAGGTTAACATTGGTGAGATCGGGGAGGAATATAGTACTAAATAGACATGATGAGATACTTCACAAGGAATGTAAAATGTTGTTTAAGGGCACGGAGCAAGTTGTCGGTGTGATCGTAAAGAGGATCACCATCATGTAATATCAAAGAATGACGAGAAGGTATCGTGATGCTTTCCTTTGTAAGTTCTTGTTAGGTATTATTCCCAACTCAGCTATAAAGCCCATGTCTGTTACTCACCATTATAATTCCAGTCTTTGTCTCTCTTTTGCATTAGAAACAAAGATGATGCATACTTGCACGGCTCTTTAGCTATATATTAACAAGGCTTTTCTTCCAGACATGTTATCTTTCTGAGACAATTAAACAACAAATTTGTACAAAAAATATTTGGATTATCGTTAATGTATGATGAGGTAATGGTGGTGGATTAACCAATCTTTTTTTTTTTCTTGGCTTGTTTTAATGTAGATAATAATGAGCCAAATTGAGCCATTGACAGAACAGCAACTCCTGGCAATATGTGGATTACAGCAGTCAACACAGGAAGCTGAAGAAGCCCTCTCTCAAGGACTTGAAGCTCTTAATCAGTCCCTCTCAGACACCATTGCTTCTGATGCCCTGAGCTGCCCTTCGAACATGGCTAACTACATGGGCCAAATGGCTCTAGCCATGAACAAACTCTCCACCCTTGAAGGTTTTGTTAGACAGGTATCCAACATTAAACATTAAACTCCCCCCCCCCCAACACCCCCACCACAAATATAACTGTAACACAATTTTCTATTCAATCACAAACATGCATGCTTATGTATACATGTACTAATTGGTTAATCACATCACGTAATAAGTCATTCTTCCCTGGAATAAAAAAGGTACACTGAATATAGTGTAGCACATACTTTAGAAAAAATTAATGCATACTAGCTACTAATTACATAGCAAAAGAGGGTACACAGCATGCATTTTGAATTGATGACGTTGAAAGTTTTTTTTTGTGGGGTCGTAATCGTAGAGGACAAGAATCTGCCCATTGCTTGGGTTGGGAGACCTGCTCCGACTGATGACCAACTCTCCTCTTCCCTCCAGCTCATACATGGACTAACAGGAGTAAATATTGTGGCAGGATTATGTACTTAAACCGTAGAATCCCTAGAGTAACAATACCTTAAGATGGTTTGGGTTAAGGAGGAATCTCGCACGTTGGATTTGAGTAAGTTAAGGTCCACCCCGATGTTACATGCACGGATATGTTTTAGCTAAAGAGAGCAAGTCATGGTCCCATCTCTCTGGGTCACATCTCACATGGGTGTTGGGGTTTTCTGATCGAACATCCTGCGGTCCACATTGTGTGGGTACACTCGAAAGTCTGTGACCGTGACCCTGTCCTTCTGTGAAGTAGTTGCTTCCTCCTGTTTGACGCATCAGGCCATCTCTCTATCGAGTCTAAACAACATTTCTTTTTTTTTTTTTTGCAAACAATAATTTTTCTCTATTGAGTCTAGACATAGTTTGTCAAACACACGAACCCAATATTCTTTTCTAAGAGATTCACCAATTTTTGGAGTAGTATTTGGATGATAAATGAGTGGAAAAGTAATTAAATTGTTTAATTTAAAAGATTGGAAGCTAGTATAAGCTAAGGAGGCACAACTTTTCAAGTTCGCAGGCCTTCATGCAACTACATGAATTTCTGTAGAAAAAGTGTGGCTGCGGAAATTTATGTGAATGGCGTAGGCTGATTGCTTAAAGATTAAGATCCCATTTGATGGAGATAAAAATTTTCCCAATATTCCTATGTGATGTCACATGGTCATCATCATTCCTAGCAATCATGTTTGAGAGAAAAGGACCTGCAGGAAACTTAAGAGTCATTGAATATATTAATCATCTGCTTGATGAAATTCTTTTACTCGTCTGCTAGGCATTAAACTTGGTTTCTGTTTTGAGTCCATTTCAGGAACTAGTCCAAATTTGCATTGTCATTCTCAAAGTTCACATTTATGGTGTATTTTGTCAGATGAAATGTTTCTTGGTCATGCACGTGCAACTAATGATACAGGGACTGCAAAACAGAAAATGAAACGTATTGGGAGACTCTTATAGATTAGAGAAATGGTATACTAAATGTATGTCAACGAAGTCTAACATTCTAAATCATTTTGAATATTACAACTGATGAAAAGTTTTCTTAGAATGATCCCCATGAAATTTTCTAGTTCTAGAAGGTTAGTGTTTTTCCTTTTTCTCATTCACATCTCATATTGATTATCACATGGTTCTTACGAACGAACTCTATAGAACAGTATCCTTGCTATTCTTGGTTTCCCATATTATTACCCTTACAGCGTTGTTCAGACCAGCTGCAAGATCCCAGTCCCTGTCTAAACTGCTACAGTAAGCAAATGGGGAGAAAAAGAGAGGATTGGTTACACTTTCAAGTGATTTTTGAATGTAGCACCAGATCAACTCTGCACTGGTCAAAACAATGGAAGTAAATAAATTCTACATGTCCCAATTTCAACCGGTGTGTTCTGGACCAATCAAGAAATTCAAAAGGCGGGGTGGCCGGAAAGATTATGAGGGTCTCTAAAGATTTTCTATACTCATGTCAAATGTTAAGACTTCTGCCCAGTTAAGATTACTCCGTTACCAACCCAAGATGCAGATGGAAGATGCCTTCTCTTTTATATTTTTCATCCTCCAAAAGTCAACATACATGCATGAGTACATTTTGTAACTTGTTGTTGCTGTTACTTAATTTCTATATCGTTTTGTTTTGACAAAAGACAGAAGGAAAAAAAAAAAAGAAAAAGAAAAAGAAAAAGAAGTCGGCTCTAATATTCAAGGTGTCTTTCATTTTCAGGCTGATAATCTGAGGCACCAAACAATTCATCGCCTGCATCAGATCCTGACAACCCGTCAAGCTGCAAGGTGTTTTCTGGCGATAGCCGAGTATTTCCATCGCCTCCGTGCTCTCAGCTCTCTTTGGTTGGCTCGTCCTAGGCAGGAATAAGAAGGGAAGAAAGAAAAAGAAACCCTAGCTAGTCATCACCCATCTTAGGATGTTCAGCTTTTTATCTGTTTCATGAAAAATATTTAATGTTTCTAAATTTTGTCATTTTCGATAGAGATGTATAGACTATAGATAGACAAAATTAAGGTGGCTAGCTAGTTTTTAAATTACAATAGTAGAAGCAAACTCTTTTTGTACCTCGGTGTTTTTCTCTTTCTGTGGTTCGCTTTTGTCTTTGTTTTCGTCCTTGGTCATGATAATTAAAACTTTAATCATGATTTAGCAGCCATCTCTGACGGAGAAGTGAGAACCAATGATGTTTGGCTTGAAGAAAATCATGCATGATTAGGGAACAACAGGTGGTTGAGATGGGTTGTTTGATTGCCATATGTTGGAGTGCTTGAGGGCAACCTCTTTGGTCAAGATGGACAAAGGGGAGAATAGATCAATGAGGATTAAACTCAAGTACTTGGACTATGGACGTAGAAAAAATATCACATACCACCAATTGCACTTACCCTTGCCTCGACTTTGTCTTACCATTGGATTTGGTAGGTTATTACTTGTTCACATGGAACTTAAAAGTCCATTATATATGATCCATTGAAAACTTGTGGATAAAATTCTTTACAATAATAGTTTCTGGTAATTAATTTGTCGAAGGTTGCGGTAATAATCCAATGATACTTTGATCATTCAGTTTAATTAGGGGCAGTGGCGCATCAAAATTTTTTCAATTTGGAAGACTATTAAACTATGTTAAGGAAGCTGGTTAGTTGAAACGAGGTATCTCAGTCATGGATTAGTTAAAACGTTATGAGGAGGGACGTACTATCACTTGCAAAATATAGAGAGAATATGGAAACTTCACAGATAGGGTTGGTAGTTGGTAGACTAAATTCAAGGTCTCTCTCTCTCTCTCTCTCACACACACACACACACACAGAAACATCCACTCTTGTTCACCTCGTATTTTATGATGCCATTTCGTACATCTAGGTTTGTGGGGTGTGCCTGCATACACAAGATGATGAAGAAGCAACAATATGGACTTAATTACATTTGTAGAAATTCATCAGGCAAAATAGCTAGCTAGCCTTTTTATTCCTGGGAAAACATGCTCTTTACACAAGATTTTTAAAAGGCAAAACAATTATATGCAGCAAGAAAAATAAAAGCCTTAGAAACTAAATTATTTATTTGAGTATGTATGTATTTGATAGACGAGATTTTGTACAAATCTTTAGGAAAGACGCATGCCCAAAACGAATCACAACAATCTTGAGCAGGTCAATTTTTGGTTTTCCATCGGCATTTTGTATTTGGGGGAATCATCATCAGCATTGGTTAATACAATAAACACGTTAGGTATCAAAATCCATTGAGCTTAATTATAATAGGCTTTGCAGTCAGGCCTAAAAGGAAAGGTAGACTTGAATCTTGTTCTTGATTTTACCATTTCCAACCTTGCCAACCTAAAAGGAAAAGTGCAGAAATTGAGACAAAACCCTACAACATTTTGGTCGAGTAAAGAGTATTTATTCATGTGGAATTGTATGCGATTCTCCAGTTAAATTTCCTTTTACCTTTTTCCTAGGCTGGCGAAAGCTTTGTATTGTCTAGGTTGCCTTTTCTTCGATGTCAATTCAGTATGGTATATGTACCAGAACTTCAAAACCACTTTACTATATTTGAGTAGTATGAAAGCAAAATAAACACATTTTGACGAAAGAATCATGAGCTTTAGACGTTCCCAAAACTTCTAGAGATAAAGTTCTTTCACACTTCATAATCTTTATAATTTTTTCAGGGAAAGCAATTAAAACTGTTTCGCTAGAAAGTGGCAATTTCGACTCATCATCTTGCCTTTAATTCAAAGACTACCAAGAAAAGAAATGGCACTATTCTTAGTTAGAGGTTGGAATTTGACGGATTGGAATCCTCGGTGACATGTTTTTCTATGCCAATTCAATGCCACCTATAGTATTGCACCAAGTGTCCTGTTATTATTTACACTTTAATTTTCTAATAATTCAACTTGGTTTGGTTTAACATAAGTGTAAATAATAACAAGACACTTGGTACAATATTATAGGTGTCATTGGATTGGCATAGAAAACATGTCACCGAGAATCCCAAGTGGAATTTGACTCCCTTTAAATTTCCCTTCGCCAAAAGTCTATTTATTAGATCAATGTGGTACTGTCATTGGTATTTGCACAACCTCTATATTTATATATATATATATATACATACATATATAAAAGATAATCAATAGTAATTTTTTATTTATCCTTTTGATGATTCGACTCTGTAATCTTCGATTATTAGTGAAAAATATTTTACTAATTAGACAGTACTTCGTTATCACAATCTATATATATATATCGGAGAAGGTAAAATGGACCATTTGTTACCACAAATGTAGAGGCGAAATTGGGCATCATAGATATTCGACGCTAGATGTCTCAAAATCGGTTTCCAAAACACTTTGCACATAAAACATATCTACAACAATTTAGCCCCCAAAAAACAAAAATCGTGTTGAAAAAAAATCTCGATATTTGATTCCAAATCATCATCCTCTCCAACATTACCCATAACCATAACAAAGTGCAAGGTTTTTTTTGGGCCAAAGCCCAGAAAGTTACGACAAGCAGATCCAATAGAATTACATCTGCAGCGGCCGCTGAGCCCATAACCTTGACACCTTCCAGAAATCCAGCTGTCGGAGCCATAACTTTTTGCACAAGTGCTCCAGGTACTGGACTAGTTTGTTCCTATATTAGAGCTTCACTTGTGGATCTAGGCAATATGCTATAGCAATACAGTTGAATTTATTAAAATCAAAGTTTTGAGCCAGGTGCTGCTGGTCAGCTGGTGGTTAATTTCTTGTCCATGCTAGTGGAAGTGTTTGCTTTTCAAATGGCGAAAGTGTTTCTTACTTTGTCTATATAAAAAATGCTTCTTTATGGTTCTTTGAGGACTATGAGAGATACTACCTCAAAATTATCAAGTAGAGTTCTTACGTTTACTGGATTTCTCTTGATCAGTTTAGGTCTCCTTTCCCTTCAGTGTAGGAGTAGAAGTAATTGTAATAGAGAATTTACCAGTGGTGGTGGTTTATTGATTTTCCTTAACTCGTTTAGGTCTTTCCTCCCTCTAGTATAGGAGTAGAAGTAGTTATATCTATCGTGTCGATCAAAAAAAAAAAAAAAGAGTTTTATGCCAGGTGTTGGTCGGCTGGTGGTTAATTTCTTATCCATGCTAGTGGAAGTGTTTGCGTTTCAAATGGCATAGTGTTTCTTACTTTCTCTAAACAAAAAATGCTTCGGTATGGTTCTTTGAGGATGTCAAGAGATACTACCTCAAAATTATCAAGTAGAGTTCTCTGTTTCCGGGGACAATATAGTGGGTTCATCTTACTGCATCCTATTGGATTAAAAAGCTAATTCTACATTAAAACATTGTGTAGAGATGTCCAAATGTTAGATGTGCTTTTTTGATTTGGCTTTTTGTGGCTGTGTCTTTGAATGTATTAATTTGAAATTCAAATCCTGGATACAGATATATCAATTCATAGAAACTTGGTTGGAGTGACATGACAAACATTTAATTCAAAAAGCAAATAGCACATTGCCTGATGCATATGTTTTCTACTTAGAGCATGCTATCAGCTGCAGAGGGCAATCTTCTGAAGAGGTTGCTGGGTATTGAAGGCATCTTGCTCCTGAATCTTGGGTGACGCAGAAAGTAGAAGCCTGCTAGCAGAGTCACTAGTTTGAAAGGTGTGACATAAAGAATTATTGCTGTGCATAGGCAGAAGACTATGAAGAGGCAGGTGGCTCTTGGATCTCTCCAGCTAAGCAGAGCATGAAGCCTCTCCCCTTGAGTTGCCATATCTCCAACTACAGTTTGGATTTTTCCTGCCACACTACGAAGTCTATCATACCTCATCCTTATAACATCTTGAGGTTTGGATGTGGGAAAAGTGTCAAATTCTTCATCTAGTTCATCTGGATGAACCGCTTCAGCCCATGAAAGTTTAGTGTCCATATGTGGAGGATGCCTTGGCCTGAATCGGTAATTCCATATTCCAATGAGGAACATGTAAAGAAAAATGGTTGGAAGGATCAGCTCAGGGTAGCATATCAATATGCAGAATAGGACATGCACTAGAACGGAGGTCACTGGGTTTTTCCAGTGACGAACTTCACCAAGCCATTTACTCATGGACACCATGCCTGTGAAGAGGGAAACAATTCTGAAGAAGTTTGCTTTGCTTCTTCTCATGCTCCACATGTGGGAATCTACATCAAGCATGTATTCCACAACCTCTTTCCTTAATGGAGGCTCAGCTCGTCCGAGCCTGGATGCTACCATGTTCATGGCTTCATATCTCAAACTGTCTAATTGGCTTACAGTGAACGGATGCAGATAATGCATTTTTGGCAGTAATGGACGACCATAAAGGTATATCATATGTGTAAGTGATAAGCAGGTAAAGCGAAAGGCAATTTGAAGTTCACCCATTTTCTTAACCCCTGATGGTTGCAGAACCAGAAGTGGGTAAGAATGGGTATAAATCCTGTCTGTTTCAAGTGTTGATAGCCTGATTCTCACCTTTCCAATTCTGGAGTCCCTTCCAGGTCCACCTCCAGCCGCTGGTTTTTCGTTGCCTCCCAAGTGGCAGTTATCAAAAACCCCCAGTGTGATAACTGTACAAGGGTCATAAACTTCCCAGGTGTATTGTTCATTCCATTTAGGACTGAAGCTTTCAACAATTGTTCTGGTTCTTACCCACTTCTGTCCATATTTAGCTACACAGTATGCATCTGTTGTTCCTCGACCATCCTTAGTTTTCATTGGTTGTAGCCCTTGTGCACTTAAGATCCCCACTTCTAGGATCCCAACTGGCTGCTTCCATAACTGGCGAGCAGTAGGGCGCTGATCACTTATGTACATAGTTGATTCATCTAGTACATGGTAAGCACCTTCAAGACAGGCTCGGATATGAATCCTAGTAGAGAATTTGTGCTCCTTTCTCCTATCTGCCTCCAGAACTCCGAACCCAAACTTTTCGAGGTTGAACCAGCTAGAATGAACTGGCCGGTGATCTAACCTTCTTTCAAAGATGTTAAGTGGCAAGCTTTTCCTGCCTACAAGTTCATCTTTCGTTGGGCTTGCTTTGTTTTCAACTGTAAGTACCAGCTGCTCTTCAAAAGGCTCGGCTGCTACAAAGATTA